ACTAATATTATCTATCTATCTATCTATCTATCTATCTATCTATCTATCTATCTATCTACACACACACACACACACACACACACACATATATATATATATGTGAGGGGTTTTAGAGATATTAAGATAATAATAATAATAATAATAATAATAACACAGAAAGAGCATAAGCAATCACATGATTGGATGCGAGTTACAAGATATTATAAGATTTCACGGTCCAGAGAAATTATATTATTGAAACACAAAGAACATAACCTTATTGTCATGGATAAAGAGAGCACTAAGTGTAAAATTATTGCCTTTGCCGCTTCATACAATACAAGAGTTGACTCGAAAGAAACTGAAAAGACCAAAAATAACTACGTTCTGGCTAGAGATTTGAAAAAGATATGGAAGATGAGTGTAATTCATGTAGTAATACATGTACTTAGAAAATTGAAAAAGTACTGAGTGAAAATTGGAATTGAGACCTTCAGAAAACTGCCATGATTTACTCTGAAGAGTTTCGCAGAGACTTGTTGACACCAGTTCTCAAAAACTGATTTTCCATTTACTACATCACTATGCAACATCGCAATAATAATAATAATAATAATAATAATAATAATAATAATAATAATAATAATAATAGGCAAATGCAACAGACTAGATACAAATGCAAACGACCAGATACAGAAAAGATGGCAAGCTAAGCCGCTTCACGGTCAATACCCTGCTTTTAAGCTGATGTAGACAAACCCCGTACCCGTCAGTGGCTACGTAGTGCAGGGTTAAAAGCTGAAACTGAAGGACCAATGCTTGCTAACTAGAAATTACCAACACACACACTGATAAATTATGTTAGTCCAAAATGCAGATTCTGTAATAAATATCCAGAAACAATTGACCATCTTGTATCTGATTGCGTGGTATTGGCACCCCTGAATATAAAACACGGCACGACAGAGTGGGCCAATATCTGCACTGGAAAATCGGCAACACTTACGGAAAGGAAACTGCAATAAATTGGTATGAACACCACCCTGACCCGGTCGCGGAGATTGAACCTGTAATAAATTTATGGGATTTTACAATCCACACAGAGACAGAACAATCAAAACTAATCGCCCTGACATTGTGATTAAAGAACCGCAAAGACAAAATGTGTCTCCCTATTGACATAGAAGTCACTGCAGATTGTAATGTATCTTTGAAGATCTTCAAAAAAACCTATCAAAATACAAAAACCTTGGAATCGAAATCTCAAAAATGTGGCCCATGAGGACATTGACAATTTCAGTTGTAGTTGGGGCCCTTGGATTGATTAGAAAAGATTCCAGTAGAATCATTGAAAGAATCACTGGTACTCTATACTTTGGGAAGATACAAAAAATTGTACTCACAAGTACAGCCCACACCTCACGAAGGGCTTTGTCTATGTAAAATAGGTGCGATTATGTTTTCAAAACTGCTCAGTGGAAAATGTCATGATGCCATTTCTGACCTTAGGTCTCTGGTTGGGACCCGGAAAGAAATGAGTATACACCAGGAACCAAAGGAAAGAAGAAGAAGAAGAAGAAGAAGAAGAAGAAGAAGAAGAAGAAGAAGAAGAAGAAGAGAATATCAGTCCGCTATAATCGAGTTCAATGAAAGAAAGATAAGTTTTGTGTGGGTTCGTCAAACCAATTTGAAAATGCCGTGAGCCATTCTCTCCCCCCCACCCGAATGCCAGTTCTAAAAAGAAGCCCAATTATCTCCCATTTATTGTCCATGTAGGTTATATATTGTGTTTCAGATTCCGACTTGTATTTCCATAAAACTGAGACAGTGTGTGTGCGTGTGTATGTATATGTGTGTGTGTGTGGGGGAGAGAAAGAGAGAGAGAGAGAGAGAGAGAAAGAGAGAGAGAGAGAGAGAGAGAGGAGAGAAGATACGCGGAGAAGAGAGTGAGAAGGAAATTGTTAGGGAAAAACCGTAAAAAAGTTTAACAAATTCTTATCAAGAAAAGAAAACGAAAAAAAAAAAAAAATAGAAATTAGAAAAGAAAGCAAAGTTAAGCAAAGGTAGGGAAGAAATGGGTGAATGAGGGAGAAGAGAAAGCAAATCAGAAGGAGAAACAAAAGGGAGGAAAAAATGATGATAAAGAAGGAATAAAAGAAGGATGAGGAGGCGGAAGGATAAACGGAAGTGAAGAAGAGAGAGAGAAAAGAAATGACTAAACAACAAAAGATGAGAGATGAAAAAGAAAGAAAGATAAAATATAATGATGATGAAAAAATATTACTTCTAATAATAATAATAATAATAATTAATAAATAAAATTCAATACCCAGATGATGCACTAGGCATGGATCTCATAGCTTCTGACCGTAACTGATTGGAGATGTTAACATGAATATATTTTATTTTTCTGAAGTAAGATGGGTTAGAGTAAATATCCCATTCAATACCATAGATTTGCTTGTCAGTTGCCTGACCGTAACCAATTGGGCGTGTCCCTAAGAATTGATGCATAGGGCGTTCATTAGCAGAATACTGGCTGGGTTTCGAGAGAATTGTGTTTTTTACGTGTGAAAGATGAGTCAATCAAAGCGACTTAGGAAACATATCTAGATACTGCGGAACACCCTCAATCGGATACCGTCTGAGCGGACTGGCTTACCCACCCTGAAGGTATTTCTAACTTGGCCCCACCTTCAAGATATTACTATATCACGCACATTGAGCTGTGATGTATTCGTCTGGTAATGTTAGACCGGGTGCCGTGATGGTTATCGTATATTTGTACTTCAACTTCACTTTGCTGGTACGTTGCTCTGTCAATCAATCAATCAATCAATCAATCAACAACAACAACACCACCACCACCACCACCACCAAACAACAACAAGAAAAACAACAAGAAAAACAACGATAATAATAATAATAATAATCGTTTTGGGGGTTTCTGCCATATGGGAACCTGTTCTTTATATAGGCAATAAGTCCGTGACCATGTCGATTTTGAGAGTCATGTTTCACTATTAAGGCCCAGGATTCCGAATTCCTGCACCCGGATAGATAGACCGATATCAGTTTCAAACAGAGGAGGTAGGAAGAACTGGAAAACCAAGCCCTGTTCTGCTATTCCTTTGCATAAACTTCTTAGGTCTCAGTTTTCCTCTGTGTCTTTTGCATTCAGTATGTCATGTGAATGCTAAATTCCCCAAGTCCTCAAAATTTCAACTTCTTGTCCCTTTTTGATCCTAACTACAGGTGCCATTTTGTTTCCATTTGTCAAACTTCACCGTTACTAACGTGTTTTGTTTGTGATATTATTCCTATTTTCTATCTTCCATAGAAGCATCTCTACCGATTCAAAATCTCTTCATCTGTGAAGACATTTTCAAGCATTATATATATAGGATATATATTGTATGGAAGTTCAGCAGTTTTTTTTTCTCTTTTTTAACGAGATTTTGCAATGTTTTAACACTTTATTTGAAGACCTCTTTTACTATTCCAATGCGACTTCGTCTCTATGTGTTACATTTTCCTTCGTCTGTTCAGACACTGCTTAGAAGCTTAAACTTCTGTACTTGCTTGATTCTAATAGCTTCCATCTTGGACAAACTCTCTTCCATATATTTTATCTTTTTACACTTAATAGTCGTTTCTTCTCACTTGTCTTTAATAATTAATCTGTTGTCTTTTTTTCTTTTAACGTTTCTTTCCTTAATGTGACTGCGATTTTATCATTCGTTGCACTTTTCTGAACAGTTTTCATGATAACCTTTGCGGATCTGTTGTAAGGATTTTGTAAATCCTTTTTTAGCTGCACATCGTCTTCACGTTGATAAATATTCTTCTTTCTCTCTCACCTATAAGGATTGTCAGCCAAAAGATTAATTTTAAAAGAGCGTTATAGCTGTCTATATTTCTGAGATGAGGTATTATGTACACTATTTACATTATTCGGCACGACCCAAAGAGTTGTGAGTTCAATACGTGGTTGAGGCAGTGGAGAACTTGGAGAGGTGAATTAACAAGAGATAACTGATAACTGACATCCATTAGATATGACACGTGGAACTAGAACAGTCTACCCCAGCGGGTAAATTAAAGGGTTCAGTTCGACATTCCAACCACCTGAAGAAGGCCGGAGCGTACAACGGCCGAAACGTTGTGATAAATATAGCAACGAAAATGAGGACAACAGTCCGAATAATGTAAACAGAGCGTTATAGCTATTTTGAATTAATCTCCTAATTTATGACAGTTATAAAAAATAACTGAGACAAAAACTTTCTTTCAGAAGCACCTGTCATATATATATATATATATATATATATATATATATATATATATATATATTATTCATTTCCCCCCAAGCAAGATAGTAAAGCTTTTAAGACACAAGGGGTTACCGAGTGTGAAAAAATAAGGAAAAAAAGGAAACATTATTAAGGAGCTAGAACAATAAAAGATAGGGAATAAAAAAGACAGTAGATAACAATTTATATTGCATTTACATTTTTAAAGATCGGCTGGAAAGCATGGAGCTGGAAGTGTGTTCCACAAGAGAGAAGTGCGAGAAAAGAAACTATTAGCATAGAACTTACGGTTGAAACTAGCCAATTTAAAAATATCATGAGTAATCTTCAGATAACTCTATTTACGTTAATCCCGGTTCAGACTCCTTTACTGTCTTTTGAGCAAGATTAGAGGTTTATCCTTTTTTTCTGCTTATGATTAGGTATCCGATTCCGTCTCCTAAAGTCTTCTTCTTCTCATTCTCCCAGCAACCGTTTGTATCTTAGTGGCATTATCGCCTTGCTTAAGTTGAAATCATTAAAAAAATAAGAAAATAAATGGTAGCTCTCTGGTTAATTAGAATCAATTTCTCCGAGAACAACACATATGATGGCTTATCATTCCGATTCTTGAATCATAAACTTGCATGCAGATTATGTAATTGAAACTGGTTTGTAGAGATTGTTCTTGATTTTGCCGTCTTTGCTCTGTCGTATCTTTCCCATCTGATGGTTACGCTTGTCCCCACTTTTCCTGTTATCTTTTCGAACAACCTGTCACCAGTTTCTGCGGTTAAGTTGCTGTCAGTTATCTGAATATTAAATTCTGAAGAAAAAAATGGCTATGCTTTCATTTCATCTTACATGCACTTCAGGAGAATCGTTTTTAATACAAAACTTTTTTTTTTTTTAAACGGTATTACCCCATGCAGTAAAGACACTAAAACACAAGGGGTTACAGGGTGTGGAAGAATCAGGAACAGATTATTAATATAACTCGCCGAATTACTCACACCTTGATGCGTGTCACTGATTCTTTTGTAAGAAAATGATTTTATCATTGTTATTTGTGGAGAAAAATGATGCATTTCAGTATCACTCAATGATCTTGCCAATATGACCCCCATCTTCTGGCTTTCTCCTTCTATAATTTGGATATGAGTCATTCCCTTGTTCAAATTTAAATTCAATTAAAAAAAAAAAAGGAAACAAAGTGAGTGGGGTTGTGTGCAAAAACACGCCTTTTGATATCTATTTGATACAATACGAGATTGAGTAAATAGATTAGCAGATTTCAACATTGATATGACAGTTGGATTGTCGCAACAAATATGTATTGTAAGGCACTACCCACTGGCTGCTGATTTGTTGCTTAACTTGTCGCCCATATTATCTCATATTGATCTTGTCGATGTGACCTCCATCTTCTGACTTTCTCCTATATTTTGGATAGGAGTCATTTCCCGGGAAGCCCTTTTGATCATACTGAAATATGCTTATCCAAGTAACCTAGGAGTCATTCGCTTGTTCAAATTTAAATTTAATTTAAATCAAAAGGAAAATAAAATAGAGTGGGGTTTTGTGCCCCCCCCCCGGGATTCCCTTTGATCAAAATGATCTTGCCGATGTAACCTATTTCTTCTGTTTTTTTCTTTCTATATTTATATTTTGGGTAGGATTCATTCCTTTGTTCAAATTTAAACTTAATATAAATGAAAGAGAATTTGTTTCAGTGGTGGATTTGTTCCCCTCGAGGACCACCTTTGATCAAAATAAAATATATTTATGCAAGTACCCTAGGGATCCTTCCTTTGTTCAAATTTAAATTTAATTTATATCAAAGGAAAAAAAATTAAAGTGGGGGGGGGGAAGGTTGTGTCCTCCGTTGATCCCCTTTGATGAAATATATATAGTACCCTGGGTAATGTAGTTTCAGAATATATATAGTACCCTGGGTAATGTAGTTTCAGAATATATGTACGGGGATTTATCTCCAAAACCCTAGGAGGAGTTCGATAACAAACAGACAGTCAGAGGCTACAGGTTTAGATATATAGATGAGCGGAACGCGAAAAGGGTAATCAGGAGGACAGTAGATGGCGATTGACATGGCATTTAATCTTTTGCAACAATTAAATTTGGCTGGAAAGCATGGGTCCGGAAGGTAGTTCCACAAGCTAGAAGTGCGAGAAAAGAAACTGTTAAATAGAATTTACGGCTATATCTATCCAGCTCAACTGTAAATTGATGAGATCTCGACGCCAGTCTAGTGCTGCGTATTCCATCGGCAAGAAATAAGTTCCATTTCTTCCTGCGAACCACAACCCTGTTGAACAGACTCCCAAGAGGATGTTTCTCCATTCACTACAATCTTAACCTGTTCAAGTTTAGAGTTAACCTTTATTTTCCTCTCCTATGCTTATAAACTACTCCTTAACGTAACCTCGCGTGGCCCCCGGGCCTTGTACAAGGGTGAACCTTACTGTAAAAAAACAACAAAATTTTATTCGTGTTTATATGAATTTGAACCCAAGAAGTATCTAGTAACTTTTACCTGGAAATCAAGTGACAGCATGAAGTCGAGGTACCATAGCGAAGACCTCATCCGAACAATTACCAAGAAAGTATTTATAGAAAAGACACAGAGAGGCAACCTTACGCACAGTGGGAAAGTAACGAAAGCCGAGTCGATAGATCAGTACCAACAATATTCCTGATTCTTGTTTCGGTCTTATCAAGGAATTCAAGTTAAATAGCAGGGACACCTGGCCATATGTGGCAGCAATATCCTAAGCCTGGGCGTATAGTAGACTTATAGATATGTAAGATAGATTCTGGAGAGAAAAATTGTCTCGCATGAAACAGTGACGTGACTTTCTTAGCGGCTGATCTAGCAATGAATTAAAAATCGTCTTTCCATTTCATGTCAGCTGAGAATATGATCCCGAGAAGGTGCAACTAGTCACTTTCCTGGGGGTTAGCATCAGTCTCTTAGATTATTAATGTAGAGAAGTTTAGTTTTGGAAGCATTAAAATCAAGCCATCTTTTGCTCCAATTAACGACAAACATTGTGATCGTTTTGAATATCGGATGCCATTTTAACTTTGTTGGACTGATCAGCCTTACTAGCAAGGCAAGAGTAAATGATTGTGTCATCAGCGTAGATGGCAAGTTGATAGCAGATGCCATCGGGAAGTCACACACAACTGAAGCTTCATTTTACTATTTCAATTTCGATTCAAAAGATTTTATTTTAGCATATTGTTAATATCCATGTTTCCTATTTTCATCCCTAATGCAAGTGTGGAATTAAGTAGTCTTCATGTGTACATTAAGTCACCTTTGACAAAATATATTAATCCTTCTATTTACATTATCTAGCAGGATCCTCTTTGGATGTAGAGCTTTCTGCAGAACTATTCACTCTGCAGAATGTCAAGCTTTTATTATTTTTATTGTTGTTGCCTTTGAACGCACTGAATCGTCAAAACCAAGAGGATATGGTTATCCTCGATAAAGATCGTATTATTAGCAATATTTGTTTAGTCAGCCATAAGGCCTCAAGCTGCTTAATGTGGTGTTTCTCGGCTGCTACCCATCTAAATGCTGATCAGGTTCAACACCTCTTAACTTCATCAGATGAGAAATGGTTGTTTTAGCGCGACTTGACCATCTAACTAGTTTTGGTGATGCAGGCTTTAATCTAGTTCCATCAATTTTCAAGGGTTACGGTTATATCACGTTGAAAATCTGTTCCAGTACGATCACCGATGTTAAGCAACGCCGATCATGGTTAGTACCTAGATCACTTGTTAATACCAGGTGTTGCAGGCGTGGATTTGTAGAAGATGTAATGGATAACGACTCGGAATTGTTAATCAGAGTCACATTCCAATTCCAATCGGGTTCGTCATAATCACTTACACGCAAATATCCTTGAGAAAGGTATGACTCCACCTACTCTCTTCCCAGCTATGGGTTAATTAGTAAAATTTGTATCACTAAATCATTATCATCTTCAAAAGTGTTGTAACCTAGGGAAGGATACGGAATACAATAATCAAACGAAGGTTGGCAATGCACGATAATACTTAGGGCAAGAACAACACATATAAGATTCACCAGCGGCGCGTAGAAGAAGTAGTCGAGTGCTAGAACTGAGTCAAGTGAATTTCACAATGAATCTCCAACTGCAGGATATCTACCAACCGCCCCACGCGGTCAGATGTGGCACAAGGCAGAATTTAATGTGGGGTATCCGAGCTCGTAGGCTCGGCCAAAAATTCCCCGTATAAAACGGGG